GTTTGGGGGGGGGGGATCACCACGGTCCCACACAGAGGGACTAATGGAAATTCAGTGTCATATCACCCTCTCCTTGACTGTAACAGTTTGTAAAGGGGAAGACACTTCCCCCCCCCCTCCAGTGAAGGATGGCATCGTGTTTGTTCTCTTCTGCCGTGGATCGGCAAAGTAAGAAAATAAACAGGATGTAGTGATCTGAGAGCGAGGTTGATTTAATTTTAGAAGGTGGATTTCTGTAGCTACAAACCAAGCTTCTGGAGCGCAGGGTGCAACAACTGAGGAGTACTTTGCAATTAGGAAACAGTACTTTAACTGCTGCAAATAGATCTAATTTTGTTTTCCTCAGCTTGAGCTTTTGAGGGGCAGGTGATGGTGGGGGGAAGGCAAGAACTTCCTAGATTAAAAAAAATATATTTTTTTTCTGATAAACTTTCAAAAGACTATGGGAAGCGTGTGTTAGTAGAAAAAGGAAATCCACATGGAGGGAAAAAGGAAAAGAGCTCAGGTTTTAAGAGAGTGCCTATGAGGCAGAAGATTTAAAAGAAAAAAAAAGGTGCAAATTTAAAAATAAAAAAGGGGGGGCAGGAACAGTGTGGTGGGTGGAAAAGGGGAAGAGGAAATGCAGACAAGATATTGAAAAGGGGACGTAATGAGCAGTTCTAAGACACAATGAAAGATAGAACATTAGTAAAGCTGAATACTAAATAGGAAGCTTGTGTGTTGCAACCCTGAGTTATAGTCCAAATGGTGACATTCTAGCATTAGAAGCTGCTTCTAGTAAGTTTTTTAAGCCTCAAACATAAATATGTGTTTAAAAGCACACTGTACAGTTGCTCTTTATAGAGGATAGTCCAAGTAATACTTTTTTTGGACTAAATGTGAAAGATTTCAGAAAAAGTATATAGTACTTTTTTCTCTCTCTTCAAACTTAGCCATCGATAGCAAAGATTCCTCTGTTCCCCTTGCTTTGGGGCTGGGGAACACAGCTAAAGTTGATTAGCACTGAAATATAACCATTTCATTAACACATTTTCGTTACTTACCGGTGAGACGAAACCTTTAGTGGAAAATAACTGAAAACCAAATATGCAAAACAAGATTAATACAAATTCTATTTAGTCTTTGTTTTAAATCAGCAATGTAAAGAAGCTGAGCCTGAGCTGTGGTGTAAAGTGTGTTGATTTAAGTTTTAGTTCATAATGTTTTGCCCGGATGAAGACTTCGGGCATGAAAAAGAAAAATCACGTTTTTACCATGAATAAATGCAAGTCCATAAAAGACGATCTTTGAGGATGTGCGGTTATGTATTCTGATTCAAGTAGTGGCCTACGGGTAGTTGTAGGTCTGACCTACCTGTCTTGTAAACTGGACTGTGAGCAGCAAGAAGGCCGGCAGCAGCTAACAAGTGTTTCTCAGCCAGCTGTGGTGTTAAGTTCCGTTTTTGTTCCCTTGTATCAACAAGGGTCAGTCAAGTGTCAGTCGTCATAATCAACAAGTATCAGTCTTTAAATTGAAAATTTAAAAAGCATTTTCCCCAATTTAATGTTTCAATACTGAATTTAAGAGGTAATACCTTAATCTGACCAAAAACAGCTTATGCAAAATTGGCACAAAACAATGGATTTTTTATTTTTTTTTAAATGAAGTACAGCCCATGGAAAGTACCAATGGGCGCTACTAAGGATGGGAGTCTTTGGTTAGGAGGAAGAAAGAATGAATAGACCTTATTTGTCTTGTTAGGAAACAGGGTTAGTGTCTTCTGCCTCAACGCTTACCTTTGGGGACCTGTCTTCTTGGTACCTCCTCTGAGACTGCAACACTTACCATTCCTGAAACTGGCTTTATAGTGGAGAGTCCTAGATAATGATAACTGTGTGAAGTCTTTGGAGAAATGCAACAGTAATTGTAATTTAGCAGTCTTCTAAATGTTGCAGTGCTTTCCAGAGTGAAATATTGTCTAAAAAGGTTGAATGGAGAGATCCTAAATTGATATTTATTTGTTCTTGTAACTATCTGGTTAATCACATTTCGGTAGCACTTATGTCCGTCCGTAAGTTATGCCTAAAGAGAATAGTTCACTGGTGGATGAGAAGACTTAGCATCATAGTTGTTTAGGTGAGTTTTTCAAAGTGCTCCTTTAAATATATCTCAACTGAACGGGAAGAAGAAAATGGAGAAAATTCCCCTTTGGAAGTCAGTTAGCTATGGCAAACTTATGTTGCTTAGAGCGTATCATGTGGTCCTTCCATGGTCTGCTGGCATATAAGAAATAAAAATCTCAGTATGCCCCCATCAGTGTTTAAGAAACTTTGCAGACATTTGGACAAAGACCCCTGTTTTTATGTTCTAATCTAACAACTGGGTGGTTGTTTGACTACTGGCGTTCTTCTGCTTGGGTACAGCTGTGTCATTGAAACACAGCACGTGAATGCTGCGTGGCTTCTGCCCTGTCCTAATGCTGTGCAGTATTATGGAGTCTTGATTGAAAATGGTGTCTCCAGGCTCAACAGCAGTATTAATCCTTAATATTAGAGATAAACTCTGGGTTTCCATTCTATGTATGTATAACTTCTATTTCCTGCACTTCTTTTTAAGATGAAGTAAAAGCACAGGCCTGCTCTAAAGTAAGAATTTTCTTAAATGAAATATGTTATTCACATTCTAGAATGGTAATTCTGTACCATTAAAATATTTAAATAACTTGATGAGGTTTGAAAATAATTATTTCAGAGACGTTCAGACTTCATACTTAGCTTACAATGAAAGGAACATCACGCTTAGTTAAAAAAACGGAAATAATGAAGGATTACTGTAAAACTGCTGTCAGTTCTTGATGCGATGAGCTAGAAGAAAACAAGTAAAAATCGAATTAAAAAAATTAGTGACACTTATGTTTCAGAAAGATGACTCTAGCAAGCAATTTGTTTGCAGTACCTGTTCATCGCCTTTAATATAGAATATACTGTAGTTTTTGTTTTTTCATTGAATTTTAACGGATTAAAATAATTATCCTAGTAGTAATATAGCAAGACAAAAAGAGTGTGGGCGGTAATGAACATGCTTATATTATTTAATGCCAATTTGGACTAATACTAGCCACGAAAGCTGGTATTAGCCATTCACACCAAACGATATTGAAACTTTATGGCAATAATTAAGAGGTTTGCATTCCTAGATATTCAGATTAGGCAATGATATTAGATGCCTGAATCCAGAAAAAAAAAAATATATATATATATATTTGAATTCGTATACAAAGGAAGGCAAATATTTTGTTTCAACGCAGAATTGTTTTTGATGCCCTTCATAGGTCTTGAAGGTCATATGCAAGCACATTGGGCAAAGCTGCAATACTGGACATGAAATAAAGTTCTCTTGTGATGGCAAAATGTAGTAAAACGTGCCCAGAGGAATATACTTCTTGAGGGTGATTCTGGAATATAGTTGAAATTATTTGGATAGTTGTCATGTAACTTGAAATCTCTCAATAGCTTCAGTGCTGATTTTTTTTAACAATAGTTCCTTAGGGATGAATATTGAACAGGAGAATGCTCAAGGTAATGTGTGAACAGACTAAGTAGCCCGTTTGTCCGGATCATATAGCAGTGAACGTTTAATTTGTTATGGACCTCTACTCAGTAAACAACAAAAAAACTCCTCTGAGAGTTTGGGCAGTCAAGAATGAGTTGGTGCTGAGACTCAAGCAAGCGATAGCCAGATTGGCCTGAACTTTGTGCCAGAATGGTCCTGGTTGCATATTGATTATGTAGTGCAGCTTTTGGACTTACCTCCCCTGGCTCTTTTTTTAAAATGTCTTTTCTAGCTTGCGTTTGCCTGAATAAGTCTAGCTGTATCTGAATGATACCTGCAATAGAAATGGAAGTTTTAACATCTGAAAGTACAGATTATAAAATCAGAAGTGTCTCAGTGGCAATTCTCTTGTTTATTTCTGGGTAGTTTTGAAGAAATATAGCTTCTAAAGCTTTGTAAGTCAATTCATTGCAACGCTTGTGTTGCATTAGTATCCCTGCATCTTTGAATAATAAGATGTTTCAAAT